CCCGCGGGTAAGGGAAAGCTGATTTTGAATGGGCAAGGTTGAGCATGGGCAGTGGGTCATTACCCTGAAATTTCAGTCTCCTAGACTCCGTGGTTCCCGAGATATTTAGTTACCCGTGAAAAACTTTCAAGGCCGTCGCGTTACCCGCGGGTACGGGGAAGCTGAATTTAAATTTGCGGGGTCACACATGGGTGGGGAACGTCCGGCCGTACACGTTACCCGTGGGTACGGGGAAGCTGAATTTAAATTTGTGGGGTCACACGTGGGTGGGAAACGTTACCCTAAATTTTCAGCTTCCTAGCTTTTGTGGTTCCCGAGTTGAAAGTTGCGGACAAGTTGCTGCGGACAAACACACACACACACACACAAACACACACACAGACAACCCCGTAACAATATGCGTTTTGTACTGCTGTTACACAGCACAAAACGCATAAAAATAATTGGCCAACGCACGGGCTGTCCGTGAGAAGATGCGTTTTTTGCATAGTTCCCCGCAGAAATTTTGTCCTAACGGCACTGTTTTTCCCGGCAAATGCTTCTAGCTAAAAGAATTTTAGACTAGCCGCCAGGACTGTCAGAAAACATCCCTTCAAAATCCCAGTCTTCCAGCTTCTCAGGTTCCCGAATTAGCAAATTACATGAAAAAACCTTTCACGGACCCATACGTGGGAATGACTTACATACCCAAGTGCTAGGTTTGAGCTCATCAATACCTTCGTGGATGGGGAACATCCCCTTAAAATTCCAGTCTTCCAGCTTCTCAGGTTACGAGTTATCAACTTTCCTGAAAAAAACTTTCACGGGCCTGTACGCAAGTACACGTGTACGCGGGGGGCTGGGTTTGAGCTCATTAACACCCACTTGGATGGGAAACATCTATGTAAAATTCCAATCTTCTAAGTTATCAGGTTCCTGAGTCAGCAACTTACCCGAGAAAAATTTTGGCGGGCCCGTACTTGAGTCCCACTCATACCCGGAGTCTGCGTTTGAGCTCAATGAGACTTAGGTGGACGGGGAACATCTCCTTAAAATTTCAGCTTTCCAGCTTTCCTAGTCCCCAAGTTAGCGGCTTGCCCGCAAAAAACTTTCACACGCCCTACGTGGCACGCGGATGAGAGCGCCAATTTTGGGAGTTGGGGCCTGTATGTGCATGTAGATTAAGTTTCCAAAGTTTCAGCTCTGTAGCTTTTATAGGTCTCGAGATGAAAAACCGTGACAGATGCACACACGAACACACACACACACACACACACACACACACGGACACACACAGACAACTCCTCAATGTGCTTTTTCTGCACTGCATAGCCGCGAAAAACGCATGAAAGCTGCGAAAACCAATAAAATGAGTGGGCTGAAATGCTAAAATCCACAATTTTGAACAAAGCAACAACATCAGGAAGTTCATAGGCCATGGAAGAAAGACCGAGAGCGTAAAAGAGTGAGGAGTGAAACCTGAAAATATTAAAGGGGAGGGAATGGCCGGAAGATTGAGCAAAACGAAGAAACCTTCCTTCCATGTAACTCGGCGATATCCCTTCCTCCCCCTCGTAGAACCCTAACTATTCGCCGCACACTCTTAACTTTAGCCTTATGAATTGAACTCAAAAATGAGGTCCGATTACTGCTGTGAGTTATAGATTCTAAGAAATAATCAGTTCAAAAAAAAACTTGTTTTTATTGTTAAGTTAGTGAAAATGCTGCGTTTTGCAGTGAACGATCTGGGAAGCAGTCGTCAAGGATCGGGTAGCTCAGCTTCACCAGCCGATCAGGTCAGATTTCTTCCTTTCCTTTCTGAACAATTGATGGTGTAGTTTGAGGGGCAGAGCATAAATTAATTAAAAGGATAGTCAGTAGGATAATGACCAGCTCATGTTAATCAAAATAAAAAAAAAAATTTAAAACAGAACAACCACAAGAAAATAGAAAATCATCTAAAATTATAAAATACATACGAGGCCAAATAAGGATTATTAATCAAAAAACTCTACCAAATACCCCTAATAATTTATTAGGTACAGCACGTAAAATAGTAGAAAAATACAAAAAATATCACTCAGGTACAACGTGTGCAGGTCTAGCTATAATATCACTACAATGAGATATATAGTTCGGAGGGCATCAAAAAATCGAAACCCTTCTTCGTATTCACTCTCTGTAAGAGTTCCCTGCCTGTACCTACTACTTTTGTCTGTGTTTACAACTAGGAGATGAGACAAAGATCACACAATATTCAGCCCACTCCCTTAGCCTTGTCATTGGTATTACTATATGCTTTTTAAGGAGATGAACCGCTCCATTCCCACACTTTTGTTATTATACCGCCCGTATATTTCGTGGGAATTGCCATTGTTGTTAGGGAATCCCGATATGCGTTCAATGTTTTGATTTAATAAGCGAAATTCGATTTTTTTCCCCATGGAATTTA